CATTGTATAGTTAACGCGGATGTTTCAATAAGATGATGCTTACTGAAAGATTCAAAGGCTTATCAACTTTGACAGACACAAGACTTGGTGTCTTTTCAATTATGACACAGCCATTGATAACTAAACAGTTCTGTACTCCATACAGAGTCTGCATCACAAGCAGACAGAATCAGCCAACACTTAATGATTTCAAGCCAATCGTGGAACATTAGTTGTGAATGAGGCAATCATTCGCCTTTTAGAATAATCCAAGGTTAATGTGATAAAACACCCCCTCCATCAGCCTATACTATTCGTCAGAGAACTGGTTATTGATCAAGTATCCATGTACTGGCCCCTTAAAGGAAGGGGGAACGTGTATATTGATTTTGCTAGACGTCTTATCCATGGACAGTAATTCTTGAGGCTTGGCAGTGGCTGAGAGAGATTTCTGGAGATTTACAGTTTGGCGCTGTAAGAAACTAATGAAAAACTCTTAGGCCGGAAATTGACTAACAAGATGCTTGGGTTTTCTCGCCTTCTGTATTTGTAGTGATTTGTTGGTGTAAATATTTGATAGGGTGTGAGATTGGTGATGTGAGTGGTTTCGTTTGCATATTTGATTAAAACCAGGTTAATGTTGAAGATGGCTGTAGGTGTTCATCGGGTGTGCTAATTGTTAATGTGTAACAGGTGCTTGTCAGTAGGGGAACAAAATGGTGTTCGGTGTGTGAACTTGTTGGAGTTAATTGTGTTCTGAACTTCATGCTGGCTATTGAAAATAATTGCACCTCAATTGCTATGGAATATTTGTTGCTATCAGGGAGAAAATGTGAGTGTGGGATATGTTTCAGTTGTGAATATGGAGAATTCTCGTTTTCATTCCAGGTGTATACTATCATTACTGATACTGACTCAGATTACTGACTCAGGTCAAACATATTTTTTTTCGGGTGACTGTTTTTTTGGTGAAAAACGTCATTGTGAAAAAAACAGATTTGATTTTGTACTCTTTGTTGATGTCCTTATAGTATAGCATTGAGTTTTGTATTAATGTCATAGACCTATTTTTAAGATCAATGAACACACTCACTAGCCTCTAAATCAGTACTAGCCCACTAGTCCCTAAATCAGAACTTATTCAATAGCCTCTTAATCAGTACTAATTCAATAGCCTCTAAATCAGTACTAGCCTCTAAATCAGTACTAATTCACCAGCCTCCAAATCAGTACTAGCCCACTGGCCTCTAAATCAGTACTAGCCCACTAGCCTCTAAATCAGTACTAGCCCACTAGCCTCTAAATCGGTACTAATTCACTAGCCTCTAAATCAGTACTAATTCACTGGCCTCTAAATCAGTATTAGCCCACTGGCCTCTAAATCAGTACTAGCCCACTGGCCTCTAAATCAGTACTAATTCAATAGCCTCTTAATCAGTACTAGCCCACTAGCCTCTAAATCAGTACTAATTCACTAGCCTCTAAATCAGTACTAATTCAATAGCCTCTAAATCAGTACTAGCCCACTGGCCTCTAAATCAGTATTAGCCCACTGGCCTCTAAATCAGTACTAGCCCACTAGCCTCTAAATCAGTACTAGCCCACTGGCCTCTAAATCAGTACTAGCCCACTGGCTTCTAAATCAGTACTAATTCAATAGCCTCTAAATCAGTACTAATTCACCAGCCTCCAAATCAGTACTAGCCCACTGGCCTCTAAATCAGTACTAGCCCACTAGCCTTTAAATCAGTACTAATTCAATAGCCTCTAAATCAGTACTAGCCCACTAGCCTCTAAATCAGTACTAGCCCACTGGCCTCTAAATCAGTACTAGCCCACTAGCCTCTAAATCAGTACTAATTCAATAGCCTCTAAATCAGTACTAATTCACTAGCCTCCAACTCAGTACTAGCCCACTGGCCTCTAAATCTGTACTAGCCCACTAGCCTTTAAATCAGTACTAATTCACTAGCCTCTAAATCAGTACTAATTCACTGGCCTCTAAATCAGTACTAGCCCACTGGCCTCTAAATCAGTACTAATTCAATAGCCTCTAAATCAGTACTAGCCCACTAGCCTCTAAATCAGTACTAGCCCACTGGCCTCTAAATCAGTACTAGCCCACTAGCCTCTAAATCAGTACTAATTCACTAGCCTCTAAATCAGTACTAATTCACTAGCCTCTAAATCAGTACTAGCCCACTGGCCTCTAAATCAGTACTAGCCCACTGGCCTCTAAATCAGTACTAGCCCACTGGCCTCTAAATCAGTACTAGCCCACTAGCCTTGAAATCAGTACTAGCCTTCTAGCCTGCATAAGTTTGCCCAACACCTAGGGTATTGTTTTCCAGACTTTCCACTTATGTCGGATGGTGGTTTTGGTGGGTAACTGTTGCGTCATCACTATTTTAGTTCCTACCCATGATCGACTGTGTCTTCAGATTGAGTCACAGGCTACACAGACCGGGCCAAATCGTGTTCAGTAGAGAGAGCAGGGAGAGGGTGGCAGTAAATACATGTATGAATGAAGGGTGTTCGTCTCACCAGCCAATGTCTTCACAATACTTCCATTTGGCTGTCCTGAATGTGGCTTGTCGGTGTATTTAGTGATGTTTGGCTCCCTGCCCTACCCAAATCATCGTACGATGTGAATGGGAATGGAATACCGGGTCTGTCAAGAGTAAATGATACATAGATACCCGACCATCTGGAAATGCCTTTCATTCAGTGATATAGCTGTGATCACAATGACGGGTGATTTGGTATTGTGTGATGATGACGGCCATCAAAATAAGTATCTGTGTCTGGCAACACATGCAAGTTTATAAGCTTTTTTCCATCTAAATCATAAATGATTATATCATAATATGATTGGGCCATGACATGATTGGGCCATGTCATGATTGGGTCATGTCATGATTGGGCCATGACATGATTTGGCCATGACATGATTGGGCCATGTCATGATTGGACCATGAAATGATTGGGCCATGACATGATTGGGCCATGTCATGATTGGGTCATGTCATGATTGGGCCATGACATGATTTGGCCATGAAATGGTTGGGCCATGTCATGATTGGACCATGAAATGGTTGGGCCATGTCATGATTGGGCCATGACATGATTGGGCCATGTCATGATTGGACCATGTCATGATTGGACCATGAAATGGTTGGGCCATGACATGATTGGCCCATGTCATGATTGGGCCATGACATGATTGGGCCATGACATGATTGGGCCATGACATGATTAGAACACATGATGAGGAAGCCAATGAGACTGGAAGGCAATTGAACAGGATTAAGTGTACATAGGTCGGGTGATAGTTGGTCAATGAGTTTGGAGTAGGCAGATGCTGTAATATTACCACCCATTAAATGAAAACTGTTGAAAGCAGCACTGAACCCAGCTCACTCACTCACTCTCACAACTGCAGGTTTTAAACATCAACCTGACAGAGCTCCCAATAAGCTGCGTATCTGCGTGAAATACGCATCAGAAATGCAGAAATACCCAGTAAAATCAAATCCAAGCGTATCAAATACGCAACGAACATTACAGATACGCTACAAAAATAAAACTTGTGTGTATCATCAAAATATTGTGAAGTTACCCTGCGTATTCGATTAGCAAATCAGCAACTTATTTTGAAATTATAAACGGGCATTCCGTTAACCTTGCCAAACTCCACGATGACACTTACATCATGATCATTTGCCATCACACTTTCTTGTGGAAGTATTGTGGTATTCTTGAGTCCTATAAAGCTCTCGAACCCACAGGACACCAGTTTGCAGGGACTAGATGAATAGTGTTTTTAAATATTTAACTTAAATACCCACGTGTAAAAACTAGTGGGTAACAGAAATTTGAATACCCAGATAGAATTACTGATACCCAATGATTTTAAAATGCATTGGTAAAATACCCACAACACCAAAAGCTTATCTGGAGCTCTGACCTTACATGCTGTCTTGTAACTGAATTTCATGTTGACATAGAATCGTCAAACAAAAACAAATATGAATTTAAACGAGTAAAAGTATGTCATTTATGATATATGTATCCATTCTCTGTCAACTAAAGTTTGTTTCAAGGCGTCAATAGCGGTATTCTGACCGTGGTTGCTGTTAATAACGGTGAGTTGTGCGATCTTCCGATCGCTTCACACACGATTTCGCCGAAATTAATAAAAACAATGATATAAGGAATTTTGAATAAAATAAATGAAATAAGTTACAAACATAAGTCCAGATATACAAAGAACACTTTTTATAGCCAGACAGTGTAATTACATGATTATTTTGCGTACTTCAGTATGGATTTGTTGACATGGTATTTCCGGTGTTTCGTGCTTACGGTAATGTCTTTCCATGGGGGAAAAAAACATCCAAACTCATAATTCATGTATAATGCGCACCCCCTTCTACACAGCTGTGTTTTTTCGAAAAAAAGTGTGCACTATACTCAAGAAAATACGGTACATTTCACAGCATCATTAATCAAGCTCATACACTTCAATGATATTGCTGAAACACTGGTGACCTTTCGGCTTCATTAAAACTGAAAACATTAAAGTTCACTCCCCTCCCCACAGGGACAGTTGACCACTGTTGGGGTGACAGCTGTGGCTTGGTGTGCTGACACTCAATGAAGGAAGGAAGGATGGTGTTGAACTAGTTTGATCATATGGGGTATTAAGCTGGCAGCTTGGAAAGTGTTCTCTGGTTATTATTTCTGTTACATGGATTTGCTAAGCAGTCTTTTAGCCCCAGCTGAAAAATCTCATAGGACCAGTCGAAGTTTGTCTATGTAGGGTGTGACCATTGATCAAACTATCCATGCATTGCAACTGTACATGGTTTGATGGAAATATGACAGTAGTTAACATCGATGCTGTGCTTGAGTAGCGAGAATATCCACGATCGTCAGAAGCAAAACTCCATCCTTGACTGGCTTGAAAGTTACAGAATTTATAGAAAACTCTTACTTGACTTACTGTTTCTATATTTCAGAATAAAATAATTACAGAAACAATCCAAGATGTCCGCCAAGGCGATATATGAATCCAAGGGGAAGGAACTCTTGAACAAGTTCCTAAATGATGAGGCCATGAAGAACAGAGTAGCGGAGGTGACGGAAGGTGTGAACTGGGACAAACTCACTCAGGAGAACCCATGGCTGCTCACAGAGGTGGGCAATAGTCCTCAGTGTTTCCATGTACATATACTTGTGATTACCGTTTTGTGACTGGTGTAATATGTCATGGACTTGGCATTCCAGACACGGTCCAAGCACGGACGTCATGCACGGACGCACGCACACAACACACCACGCACACGCCACAACACAACACAACACAACACGCACGCAGCATGCACACACCACGCACACACCACACCACACCACACCACACCACACCACACCACACCACGCACACACCACGCACACACCACGCAACACCACACACCCACCACACCACACCACACACCCACCACACCACACCACACCACACCACACCACACCACACCACGCACACACCACACCACCCACACACCACGCACACACCACACCACACCACACCACACCACGCACACACCCACCACACCACGCACACACCACACACCACACCACACCACACCACACACCCACCACACCACACCACACCACACCACACCACACCACACCACACCACACCACACCACACACCCACCACGCACACACCACACCACACCACACCACACCACACCACACCACACACCACACCACGCACACACCACACCACACCACGCACACACCACACCACGCACACACCACACCACACCACACCACACCACACCACGCACACACCACACCACGCACACACCACGCACACACCACGCACACACCACGCACACACCACACCACACCACACCACGCACACACCCACCACACCACGCACACACCACACACCACACCACACCACACCACACCACACCACACCACACCACACCACACCACACCACACCACACCACACCACACCACACCACACCACACACCCACCACACCACACCACACCACACCACACCACACCACACACCCACCACACCACACCACACCACACCACACCACACCACACCACACCACACCACACCACACCACACCACACCACACCACACCACACCACACACCCACACACCAGGACCAGCAGAGGTATTGTTGAAATAAGTATGTTGTGTGAAACAGGAATTATGAAACCTTTTTGCTTGTCTCAGAAACTAGTGTAAGGTGCTGAACACATTTGTTCAAGCCATCAAGCCTGTCCAGCAAACAATGTTATTTTGTATGTAAGTCCGAGAGCCAATATTATGATTTTCCAGTATTTTATGGAATACGTTTCAAAGTAATATTTTCCTGCCGGGCACAATCTAGATGACAGTATGTGTAGATTGTGTTTGCTTATAGCCGAGAGTCTTTCTAATTTAATTTTACATCACATTTGACAAATATTGTACATATATTGTGAGCATAGGGGACATGTTATTTCAACATTAACATGGCATTTGTTGATTCTTAGGATCTTTTTTTTTTCTTTAAAATACATCAAATATTGATGATTGAAAGATTTGGTGAGAAATTCTTTCAAATAATGGGACAGCCTCCGTGGTCTAGTGGATAGAGCTTCTGCATTGAGAGCGAAAGGTCCATGGTTCGATCCTCTGACCACTTCATTTCAGAAGATGTTACTGGATGGTACTTGTTTTTACCCTTCCTGGTGCTCAGCACTAAGGTGATAATGCAAGAACTGGCATGATGTGTCTGAGTCTGGACCAGTACAAGCAGCCACAAACATGCAGGCACATTGCTATATAAGCAGAGCTCCAGATAAGCTTTTGGTATTGTTGGTATTTTACCAATGCATTTTAAAATCATTATGTATCAGTAGTTCTATCTGGGTATTCAAATTTCTGTTACCCACTAGTTTTTACACATGTGGGTATTTAAGTTAAATATTTAAAAACACTATTCATCTAGTCCCTGCAAACTGGTGTCGTGTAGGTTCTAGAGCTTTATAGGACTCAAAAATACCACGATACTTCCACAAGAAAGTGTGATGGCAAATGATCGTGATGTAACTGTCATCGTGGAGCTTGGCAAGGTTGATGGAATGCCCGTTTATAATTTCAAAATAAGTTGCTGATTTGCTAATCAAATACGCAGGGTTACTTCACAATATTTTGATGATACACACAAGTTTTATTTTTGTAGCTTATCTGTAATGTTCGTTGCGTATTTGATGCGCTTGGATTTGATTTTACTGCATATTTCTGCATTTCTGATGCGTATTTTACGCAGATACGCAGCTTATCTGGAGCTCTGAATATAAGTACAGTAATTATGGTCTTAACGAACTCAAAGGGACCACTAATTTTAGTTCGTTATAACCGTAGTTCTTCATAAGCATATATACAGCATAACTACAGCAAATAGTCAGGACAAAAAAAGTAAGTTCTTTACATCCGTCAGTTCGTTATAAGCGTGTTCTTTATAAACGTTGTTTTCTGTACAATAATCTTGAACACGATGTTGGACCCCTTCTCACGTCTTCTATGATATCATGAAAGTATTTGTTATTTCAGTCGAAGCTGGTTGTGAAGCCTGACCAGCTGATCAAGAGACGGGGGAAGCTGGGGCTAATCAAGGCTGGGGCTGACCTGGCCGGCTGTAGGGAGTGGCTCAACGGCAAACTGGGCAAAGACTTCAAGGTAGATGGCAATATTCCCGATTCCTGTGTGATATAACCCGCATACCACACTCTTGTGTATATAGATATGTGTAGTTTTGTCAGTATATCACACAGTTGTGTATATCCATATGTGTAATATAGTCAGTATATGACACTGCTATATTGATGTGTGTTCGGGTAAAACGATACATCGGTGTACCCTGCATCGTGAGTTTTCATGTGAGGATACTATACATGATACATTCTTTATCGATACAAGACAATACTCTTGCTAATATGAATTACTTCTAGTTGTTTAATTACCCCCTCCCCAGCGTTTTTGTCAGTCAATATTTTTCAAAATGTGTTGTAATTAGCTTTTCAAGTTGACAACTAAAGAGCTGCTATGAACCTGTGTCTACAGCTAGCTTTTCCTTTGGAACCTGCTCTGAAGTATTTATGGTCGGGGTTCGAAGTGATTTGACGTAAATATGTGTATCACGATACAAGTCGTATCGTGATACATATCGTATCATGACCTTGCTGTATCGTTTTACGCAATATGTGTGTGATAGAGAACCTGCATACCACACTTCTGTGTATATTGATATGTGTAATATAGTCAGTATATCACACTGCTATATAATGTATATTGATATGTGTGATAGAGAACCTGCATACCACACTTCTGTGTATATTGATATGTGTGATATATTCAGTATATCACACTGCTATGTAATGTATATTGATATGTGTGATATAGAACCTGCATACCACACTTCTGTGTATATTGATATGGGTGATATAGTCAGTATATTACACAGCTATATAATGTATATTGATATGTTGGATATGGAACCTGCATACAACACTTCTGTGTATATTGATATGTGTGATATAGTCAGTATATTACACAGCTATATAATGTATATTGATATGTGGGATATAGTCAGTATTTCACACTGCTATATAATGTATATTGATATGTGTGATATAGAACCTGCATACCACACTTTGTGTATATTGATATGTGTGATATATTCAGTATATCACACTGCTATGTAATGTATATTGATATGTGTTATATAGTCAGTATATTACACAGCTATATAATGTATATTGATATGTGTGATCTAAAACCTGCATACAACACTTCTGTGTATATTGATATGTGTGATATAGTCAGTATATTACACAGCTATATATAATGTATATTGATATGTGTGATCTAAAACCTGCATACCACACTTTTGTGTATATTGATATGTGTTATATAGTCAGTATATCACACTGCTATATAACATGATATAATGTATATTGATATGTGTGATATAGTCAGTATATTACACAGCTATATAATGTATATTGATATGTGGGATATAGTCAGTAAATCACACTGCTATATAATGTATATTGATATGTTGGATATGGAACCTGCATACAACACTTTTGTGTATATTGATATGTGTTATATAGTCAGTATATCACACTGCTATATAATGTATATTGATATGTGTGATATAGTCAGTATATTACACAGCTATATAATGTATATTGATATGTGGGATATAGTCAGTAAATCACACTGCTATATAATGTATATTGATATGTTGGATATGGAACCTGCATACAACACTTCTGTGTATATTGATATGTGGGATATAGTCAGTAAATCACACTGCTATATAATGTATATTGATATGTTGGATATGGAACCTGCATACAACACTTCTGTGTATATTGATATGTGGGATATAGTCAGTAAATCACACTGCTATATAATGTATATTGATATGTTGGATATGGAACCTGCATACAACACTTCTGTGTATATTGATATGTGGGATATAGTCAGTAAATCACACTGCTATATAATGTATATTGATATGTTGGATATGGAACCTGCATACAACACTTCTGTGTATATTGATATGTGGGATATAGTCAGTAAATCACACTGCTATATAATGTATATTGATATGTTGGATATGGAACCTGCATACAACACTTCTGTGTATATTGATATGTGTGGTATAGTCAGTATATCACACTGCTATATAATGTATATTGATATGTTGGATATGGAACCTGCATACAACACTTCTGTGTATATTGATATGTGTGGTATAGTCAGTATATCACACTGCTATATAATGTATATTGATATGTTGGATATGGAACCTGCATACAACACTTCTGTGTATATTGATATGTGTGGTATAGTCAGTATATCACACTGCTATATAATGTATATTGATATGTTGGATATGGAACCTGCATACAACACTTCTGTGTATATTGATATGTGTGGTATAGTCAGTATATTACACAGCTATATAATGTATATTCACATGTTGGATATGGAACCTGCATACAACACTTCTGTGTATATTGATATGTGTGGTATAGTCAGTATATCACACTGCTATATAATGTATATTGATATGTTGGATATGGAACCTGCATACAACACTTCTGTGTATATTGATATGTGTGGTATAGTCAGTATATCACACTGCTATATAATGTATATTGATATGTTGGATATGGAACCTGCATACAACACTTCTGTGTATATTGATATGTGTGGTATAGTCAGTATATCACACTGCTATATAATGTATATTCACATGTTGGATATGGAACCTGCATACAACACTTCTGTGTATATTGATATGTGTGGTATAGTCAGTATATCACACTGCTATATAATGTATATTCACATGTTGGATATGGAACCTGCATACAACACTTCTGTGTATATTGATATGTGTGGTATAGTCAGTATATCACACTGCTATATAATGTATATTCACATGTTGGATATGGAACCTGCATACAACACTTCTGTGTATATTGATATGTGTGGTATAGTCAGTATATCACACTGCTATATAATGTATATTCACATGTTGGATATGGAACCTGCATACAACACTTCTGTGTATATTGATATGTGTGGTATAGTCAGTATATCACACTGCTATATAATGTATATTCACATGTTGGATATGGAACCTGCATACAACACTTCTGTGTATATTGATATGTGTGGTATAGTCAGTATATCACACTGCTATATAATGTATATTCACATGTTGGATATGGAACCTGCATACAACACTTCTGTGTATATTGATATGTGTGGTATAGTCAGTATATCACACTGCTATATAATGTATATTCACATGTTGGATATGGAACCTGCATACAACACTTCTGTGTATATTGATATGTGTGGTATAGTCAGTATATCACACTGCTATATAATGTATATTCACATGTTGGATATGGAACCTGCATACAACACTTCTGTGTATATTGATATGTGTGGTATAGTCAGTATATCACACTGCTATATAATGTATATTCACATGTTGGATATGGAACCTGCATACCACACTTCTGTGTATATTGATATGTGTGGTATAGTCAGTATATCACACTGCTATATAATGTATATTCACATGTTGGATATGGAACCTGCATACCACACTTCTGTGTATATTGATATGTTGGATATGGAGCCTGCATACAACACTGCTAAAGGCACAGTTCTGTTTTGCTCAGTGTGAAATAACAGCATTCGTCACTGTGACAAAGGAGTAAATATTTCTTGGCAGTCTCTCATTTTCCAGTCTGCCGGCACTGAAAATATGAACACCATCTAGTTATGGAGCTGTATATTCCCATGAATTCTGTGATAACCAAGTTGTCTCGTGTTGAGGATGGTGGATAAGTTAACATGGTTAAGTCTCATGTCAATACCGTGCAGATGATAAAGTTAGCCGGTTATCTGCCTCCACAGCTACATCAAATTGTCTGTCTCTAATCAGATATAAAATAGGCAAGATACCATTATGCCTTATTATGCCAGAGGTTAACTTTAATCTATATCAATTTATTTAAAGAAGTAAAACAACAACTGATTTTTCATTTGACATATGGTTAATCTGCCATGGCCATGATGCTCTCAAACACAGCAGTCATCAGTTGTACAGTGATACCCTACACAGCAGTCATCAGTTGTACAGTGACACCCTACACAGCTGTCATCAGTTGTACAGTGACACCCTACACAGCAGTCATCAGTTCTACAGTGACACTCTACACAGCAGTCGTCAGTTGTACAGTGACACCCTACACAGCAGTCATCAGTTGTACAGTGACACCCTACACAGCAGTCATCAGTTGTACAGTGACACCCTACACAGCTGTCATCAGTTGTACAGTGACACCCTACACAGCTGTCATCAGTTGTACAGTGACACCCTACACAGCTGTCATCAGCTGTACAGTGACACCCTAAAACACAGCAGTCATCAGTTGTACAGTGACACCCTACACAGCAGTCATCAGTTGTACAGTGACACCCTTTAACACAGCAGTCATCAGTTGTACAGTGACACCCTAAAACACAGCAGTCATCAGTTGTACAGTGACACCCTATACAGCAGTCATCAGTTGTACAGTGACACCCTAAAACACAGTAGTCATCAGTTGTACAGTGACACCCTTTAACACAGCTGTCATCAGTTGTACAGTGACACCCTAAAACACAGCAGTCATTAGTTGTACAGTGACACCCTAAAACACAGCAGTCATCAGTTGTACATTTACAACCCTACACAGCTGTCATCAGTTGTACAGTGATACCCTTCACAGCAGTCATCAGTTGTACAGTGACACCCTTCACGGCAGTCATCAGTTGTACAGTGACACCCTGAAACACAGCAGTCATCAGTTGTACAGTGACACCCTTCACGGCTGTCATCAGTTGTACAGTGATACCCTTCACAGCAGTCATCAGTTGTACAGTGACACCCTTCACGGCAGTCATCAGTTGTACAGTGACACCCTGAAACACAGCAGTCATCAGTTGTACAGTGACACCCTTCACGGCAGTCATCAGTTGTACAGTGATACCCTACACAGCAGTCATCAGTTGTACAGTGACACCCTACACAGCTGTCATCAGTTGTACAGTGACACCCTACACAGCAGTCATCAGTTCTACAGTGACACTCTACACAGCAGTCG